ATATGTTCTTACTTGTGTCTTGGTTAATTTACCCTTGAGGATACTTAGATAACATAGACATGGAAAGATCAGAGCCTGCAACCAAAACGAAAATTATAGATTTTTGTTTTTTGCTGCGATCAATTTTTAATATTAAGTTCTGCGAGCAAAGAACATACCACGAGCATTGCAAGGAACGATCCGATTAGTGCAGCCACGATTGCTGTAAATGAGAAAACTCGATCAGAAAAGTTAAGATGAGATGGTTTCTTGTGTAGGAAGTTAAAGAAATGAATTTTAGGTTACTTGATTAGGAAGTTATTAAAATTTAGGGCTTAGGAGATATATAGAGGGAGAGACATTACCGAAGAAAGGAACGGAAAGAGCAACGACTAAAGTAGAGGTAACTAGGATTGTTCTGAAACATATCGATGCACCATGCGATCTCATCTTAGCCGTTGGAATGAGTTCTTCGAGACTCAAAACGATTGGGGTGATAGTTAACGCGTATTTTGTCATCGGTGTAACGACCTAAAAGATCAAAGAAAACCGATTTCTGGTTATACACTAAGGTATAGATACATACAGAGAATAGGTGAGATAGTTTATCTTACCGCTGTCCAGACTGCGATTTTAGATGAAATGAAATGTTTAGGCATGTTTAATGTGAACTGTGATTCTATCGCTTCACCAAACATGGTGTAACCGCAGACCGCTACAGCTATGTACAAGACTGTACAGAAACTAAAGCTGCGAAATAAGAATGAAGAAATAAGTCTATCAATTAGGGTTTCTTACAAATCAAGTAAAGAGAGGTTTCTTGGACTTACCAGATGACTAAGACTAGAGGAAACTTTGAAGGATCTTTCATGGAAGAATAAATGTTTGGAAAAACCGAGTGACCTGAATAACCAAACCCGAAAATTCCTATAGTAACAGGTAAGTTACTGAGATCGAAGACTCTTCCTGTTGCATGAAACCCGATTCCATCTACCAGACCAACCCAGAAGAGACAGAGACCGAGCAAGATCGAAGCCAAGACTCCTCCAACTAGATTTAAAACCGCAAGAACGGTCAATTAGAATCAAGCGAATGGAATCGAGCTAAAAAACAGAGAGATTTCAGAGGGAAAATGAAACCTGAAAGGTAAGAAAGCAAGCTAAGATCTTTAAGCCAGACTGTTGGAAGAACAAGAAGAGTGGTTAAGATCGCAAAGATCTGAGTAGAATCTAGAGATATCCCTGAAGCAATGCTCAATGAAATGTTTGGGAATAGTCCTGATAAGTTATCACTCATCATGATAATGTATTCCACACAAGCTGCCTGTTTTTTGGAAAACAAATTAAAATTACAATTAACAAAACAGTTTTTCATCAATTGATTGAAGAATTTCAAGAATAGTCAACAATAACGATGATGAAACTTACGTACAACTCCACGTACAGAAGGATCTGCGATTAAAGAAACAGAACAAGAACCCTTCAGTTTCAAGAAACAGAATCTTTGAAGGGCTTTTTGGTAGTTTGGTTTGAGAGATTGATCTGAAACTTACGGAGATGATGAAACGACCAGTGATTCCAAAAGCGGCTTGACCGATATCGGGGTAAGTATGAAGTCCAGGAGAACTTTCTAGACATCTCTTCATGAGAACACCTGTGTAGCAAGTGATGACTCCAAAGAACAAGAGTATGAGCAAACCAAGCCAACCACTTTCTTTTATAGCATAAGGCATTGTTATTAACCCTAATCCACACAGAACATTGGTTCCTACAAAAAAAAGCGCAAATGTCATTGATTATCACAAAGATGATGGAATACTATATCACAAAAACGGTAAAGTATCTGAGTGACACCTTGGGAGGAGACCATATAAAACTTGATTTCGCGACTTTTCTACTAATCACAACATTTGTTCTATCCCTATTTCAAAAGTGTAATTGATGATTTTTACCGTTGAGGACGGATTGAGAGAAAGAGCAGAGATTAGTTTCCGGTAATGGAAGATCGGTAACGGAGAGTTTGAGCTGAGATGGAGGTTTGACAGGTAATATTGTCTCTTCTTTGTTAGGATCCGGTTGAGAGAGAAGAGGTTTGCTTGAGGAAGAAGAAAACGAATCGAAAAACGAAGATTGTTGCTTCTTGTGAAAGGAAGATACGAATCTCCGTGAACCACTTTGAGGCATGAAACTCACCGACGGTGGAGTCATTCCGGTCAACAAATCCATTGATTGTCTGAACAAAACAAAAAATCATTTGAGACATTAAAGAAATTTAAGAGTATTTTGTAATTTAAGGGAATTAAAGAAAAAAAAAAACCGAGGAAATTGATGATTTTTAGGTTTTTACCTATAGCTTTGTGGCCAAGGAGGATTTGAGACATCATCGGAGAGATTGTTATCGGAATGGTTTTGGGATAAAGGAGAGGAGGAATCGGAGTTTGCACTTCCGCGTCTCCGACCGTCTCCGTCTCCGTCGTGTTCATCGTCGGAACAAGCAAGCTCTGCTTGATTTTCTTCATCGTCTGTAAGAAAGGAATGGTCTCTGTCGTGTGAGAATTCTTCGTCGAGTTTCATCTTCTCCTTCTTCTGTTTTTCTCAATCAATCTCTCAAGAAAATGCAGAAGGAAAATGTTTCAGAGAGAGAGAGATACGGAGAATCGGATTTTTAGTTTCCGGCGAGTCAAAGAGATTTCTTCTATATATGGAAACATATCAATGGAGAGTAAAATATTTAATGTTTTTAAGA